TTTGTTTACTGTATCGGTTGATGAGATTTTCCCCCTAGTGAAGTAATCGATCGATCCATGAGATCACATAGTTCTCACTATACCAAGATAGTTGAAGGGCATCCAAGTTAGAATCGGGATGGCATTCGTTTGAGTCAGGCATCCGAACTGATGACATTTCCCTCGGGGTTTCCAGGAAGATGTTTTTCCCCCGTAACCCGCACAGGAACACCAGTCATCTACAAAGGCTTAGGTGGAGAGAGCGAGAGCGAGAGAGACTGGTGCCAGCTTTGGTGCACTCTTAAACCATTTGGTAGACATAGGTCATGTAATCAATTCGGAGACAGAATTCAGTATGTTGAATGAAAGTAATTTTACCGAAATGTTTTTTGTTAATTTAGTTGCTCACTGTATTAATTCCCATCCAGATTAGCCTTAACAAAGCCCGAAATTTAATCAATAAAAGTTACATCACTATTTGTATGATAAAGAAGGGAGCAGTTTGCAACAACTTCGGCTATCCCTGAGCTCAGTCATCAGAGAGTTTGATTGCACAAGGATGCCTATTGAGATATGGATTGATTGACAAACACTGAATGGGCGTGCAAGCATACTCCAATGATGTAATAACTCCCGGCAAAGAGATTAGATTGGTAATCGGCATATGTTTATCAGTCCCGGGTGGTGATAAAGACTGTCCATTGAAGGTAAAATCATACCAATGTTTACAGATTTATCATATCTTCTATACAGTGCTTATAAGTTTCACAGTAGCCTGTGGCACTTTCCTTAGAAATTAGTAGACACAAGCAGAAAAAACTAATATGCAAAACATTTGGGTGATAATTTTGGAGAGAGAGAGAGGCGATTACTTCGAGATGAGATCTTTTCATTTCTACTTCCTTTTATTGAATACGCAATGATATGGTCATCGGGAAGGGAGTAGTAGTCAAATCAAGGGCTGCCATACATCAATCACCCAATGAATGGGGAAAGTCAGGTGATGGTGGTGGTGGTGGTGGTAGTGGGATTCGAACACACATTCCCTCCGGGGTGTAATTTGGTGACATTACCACCGGACCATGACTAAACACGGGAGGACAGAACAAATTTGTTCTCATTTTCCTTCTGCATAGTGGAATATCTGTGATTATCTCTTGATATGCGATTAGTTCAAGGTCGTTTACGTGCTGGAATAGGAGATTAAACACGCCAACAGGTAGATACGTGTCATCAAAGAAAAAGTATGAGAGGCCAGATCATCTGAGTGATTTCACTAATAAATGAGGTGAAAATTTGCGTTCGGAAGCAATTAGTGATTAGAAAACCTTAAAAATCAATATGAAAACAGTTACAAGTTGAAGAGGGGAAAACAAGGGGAAGTATTTTATCAAACTAGGCGGTAGTGGTCAAGCGAATAAGGATCAACGACTTATCGCCCCGGGGAGAGTGTTTTCGAATCCAACCACCGCTAGCTTAATTTTGTCATTTTCTGTGCTGTTTGGTAGTCCCCTCTGATTGGCTGCTTCCCCATTCCTGAAGACTATATCATTGTGCAATCAATAAAAACATGAATTGTAACGATTATATTATTGACCGTGGAATACAACTTTTTTCTCAAATCTTTCAAAACAGGATCACGGAGAACATTGGGCTCGGATAGCTGGAGCGTTGAAGTCTACAGAAAAACGGGATCAATACGATGAAAAAGTGGAAACGCATCTTAGAGTAAGTAAGCATTGACATTGTGCATGACAAATGATCACCACCATCACCATCACCACCAACAACAACACAATCACCACCATCACCACCAACATCATCATCACCATCACCACAACCACAATTCAGTTTTTTTCAGTTTGAACAACCATTAACCATGCAAGTTCGTGCGCCGGTTTTGGTTGCTGTCTTTTGGCTGCCCATTGGGATGAAAAATAGGAGAAGAAAGGAAAGTTGAAAGTGGATTCGAAAAGAAAATGGAGAAGTTCAGTGGTCTAAGGTTGGAAAGAAATTGAGGAGATGCACGAACGCCACTGTTT